TTGTTAGGAAAGATTGATTCAAACTCGATGAATAGAAAGCTCAAGGCTACTCTACGCAAAAGGCTCCTCGTGATAATAGGCACTGTAGCCGATGTCAGACTTTGCGAATCGCGCGATTCGCTACTAGCGATTCGCGCGATTCGCTAGCGTCCGCGGTCGCGTTGCGGTACCAGCCAATTGAGTGATTCACTGGCCGCGACGCGACCGCAGACGCTAGCGAATCGCGCGATTCGCTAGTAGCGAATCGTTGCGATTCGCAAAGTCTGACATCGGCCTTAAGCACGCTCGCCTCTATAAACACGTTCTCGACAGTCTGATGCGCGATTCGCGAACCTTAGAACCTTGTTACCCAATTTTTCTGCGCATGTATGCTTCTCTTAATGCAAAGGTTCTCTTCGTATAACTAGGCTAAATGCTTTGTTTAGTTTTCAACCTTTGACTTATTATTTTGGAGTTAAACAAGCCAAAAAATTCAAACATAAATGCTCAAACAATAATGCATTCAATAATTGTCAAGAGTTACGAATTCTATTACGTTGTGTTTTCATTGAAGCAATCGATACAGAGGGGTTTTCCACATATTCTGTAGCCGCGTGTTAACCGCTTTTGTATTCTGAAGCAGGGTCAACCCTACGTTGTTACTAGTAACAATCGGGGGGGGGGTCGTACTTGGTTGAGTTTGTAGGAGGGGGGGGGTCGTACCCGTGGTTGAGTTTGTAGGAGGGGGGTCGTACCCTGTTTCAGTCGCTTGAAATCACATGTGAGTTTGAGGTGAAACTGAAGTTTTTATGGGTAGGTAGGCTGGGTGAGTTGAGGGGCGCAGGAAAAATTTGTTTCAGCGCGCGTTTATACCTCCCCCGCTCAGGCATTTTTGGAGGAAAAAGTGGGCGGAGTTTGGTGGGTTGAGTGGTACCAGAATTAAATACTATAGAGAGGAATATGGTGGTCGAGGTGTGGAAAAGGGGGTCGTACCAAATCCACCTTGGGGGAGGGGGTCGTAAAAATTTTTCAAAAAGTAACAACGATAGGGTTGACCCTGTTCGAGGTCCCCTCTTCAGACATTAGTATCCGTAACCACCTTCGTCATAGCATACATTATTCATCGCACCCTTAGCTACTTATTCTAACACATGTCACGTGGGAAGCTACTGACCTGAAGCATGTTTACGTTCTACGTTCAACAGTGATTCTATCACTTCCAGTTTGGGTCATTTATCCGCATAGATAGCGTGTGAAAACCAGAATGTGCATCTATGTGAGCATACACATTCCAGCTTTCCACGCGTGCCACTCGAATTTCCCGACTGTCTTCCCTACTCATCCCCCGAACTGGGTCTACTCTCCCAGACTCAGTGATTCCATATTTTGCACTGATGTCTTCACTAGTATTTCGCTGAGAGGGTACAGACAACAAGCGACATCTTCGCCGGAAATCCCTCCTTTCAACTAATGCTGTACTCTTGTTTTGCTGTTGTTCAGTTTTGAGTTCCAAAATAATGCACCTTGTGGGACAAGCTGAGAGCGTCAGGCAAATCGAGCTCGCCAAATTCACAATCGTCCCATGCGGTGAAAATCTAAAACGTGCGCTTCGTCGACGTGTAAAGGGCAAAAGTCGGGCTCAATAAGGGGGTATTATGGCGATTGAAACTGAGTATAGAGATGCGAAGTGGAACGACAGTGGAGAAAAAACTGAGAAAAACCGTCGACAAGGCCGTTAACAAAACCCTCTTTCCCACTAGCAGTGAAGGAGGCTGGCTTGGGAAAGAGGCACGTACAAACAAGTTTTTCTGAGATGTCAGTCGTTCTATCGGTTGATACGGCAATCAACCTAGCTGATTTCACACGTTATGCCAGCCACGCACCACTTCCGGAGGTGGGCGGTCCTGGATTGACCAGGCGGTCCCTGGAAATACGAACGGGCCTTATGGGTTTTTTCACGGATGAGAGTGGATGGGAAGTTGCTGGGCCAATGTGTGTGCAGCTACCCACATGCAACTCCAAGCACGGAATTACTTTCTTCTAGCGTGCCTGAGCCCTACGATGCCTTTAAGTACAAGAAACAGCTCGGCTGGTGAACATCCCAAGCAACAAAAAAATGAGTATTGCGGCAGCAAGGGGATATTCACTAATGACCAATCTGATCTCTGCTCTGAGAATTCGGGCTCGACAAGTTATCATTTTTGCGTTTCGAGAAAGATATTCCGAGGCGGGGCTAGGGACTATTTCTTCGTCAAAACTGTAGGAATGTCGTTGTGACAAAACAAAATTGCCTTCGCGAAAGAGTAGAGAGCGGTTCTACCAAAAATAGCCTATGATATTAATATTATAAAAAAATATATATAAAAATATTATAAAAAATAGCCAATTTCTCAATGATATTCTGGCAAAAATTGACAGCAGTTGGCTGACTTAGTTGTCGAGGAATTTTCCTTCCTTCTGTTGTTTTATACTTCTTGTCTTTCAGTAAATATTTCACGATAGTATTCAAATGCTATCCACGTTGTTGCACCAGGATATGATGGGCGATTACTTGCGGAGCCGACCCGACCACACCTGAATATGCGTGCTATGTCAATCCCTGCACAGGCGTTCGCAGCATCATGAATAAGTTGATGGTTTGTTTTTGCAGGAAATCATCGGCCAAATTTAGTTTAAACATTGAGAAAGTATTATATAGTTTTGATGATCATCTGGAAGATATAGTCCTCCGGGTAGCTAATGGTTCCTTAGTTACATACAAATAGTATTATAAAATAATTTCTCAAGGGAAGGATACCAGGTCGAAGTGGACACTGTAACGTGACGTACACTCCTAGATGAGTTTTTGGGCGCTGATCTCGAATCCTTCCTCCAAATCTGTACAACATATTTCGAAATTCTGTAGTTATGAAGCGCGGTAGTGCAGCGGCAGCGGCCGGGGCAAGCGAGCAAGAGGTCGTGAGATCGACCTTCTTATCGAGTTCTTACTTTGGTTTTTCTTGAAAACATTGTCAAAGAGTCTATTACCCATGTCAGGCCATCAGCGAGTACCTATATCACAAGTGGAAAGAGATAGCGGGTAGCTTTGAACACTGTGCGCCATTTGTAATAGACCGCCCCCGTAACAATGTAACAAGCCAGAACTAAACTCGACTAACGATAAGCCGCTTCTTGTAGGCTCTGCCTGCCACTGTCTCCGAAGTAAGCAAACCGGCCCGTTTGGTGTTTCTGTTTATGCTAGATGTGGGGAGGGAATGGGGTCCTCAACGTTTGACGGACTGCTTCAACTCGGTCCTTCAAAACCGCCTCAATTTGATGCTTACCTCAGGACTGAGCCTCAAAGAGAGGACGAACCTGCGAGAGA